CCCACGAATTTTTATTTCGTGGCCACGAATTAATAAAAAAAATTCTCATACCATGTCCTATACCAGCCACCGTAAATATGGGTGATTTGCATCAATTACACTTTTATTGACTCCATCGCTGTGGAAAACCGGACGAGATTTCTCGGCATGATATAGGTCCCTGGTATGCCTGTATTTTATGTACATGTACATCTCAGATAACACATCCAAATAGGGATAAATAATAACTCGACTGACCCCTAATTTAAAAAAAAGTTAAATAATTGTTACCTACATGGATAGTTAAAGTATCTCTATGTTTCGTGTGCACATCTCTAAGAATCTTTACTTTTCCTTTTCAAATATGATAAAATATTTGATAAGAAAAAATGACAAGAGCACAACAATTCTTTTATAGATTTACCAAGTTGAAACGTCTTTTTTGGGTCAAAACTCAACTTGCCGAGTGAAAGCGTCGAATCTACACTACCCCAGGAGGCTTCCACATAAGTTTAAGCTTTTATGGCATTTTGATTCTTGAGAAAAATATTTTGTCTTTTCTTGAAAACCTCTCCATTTTACGGGCACGTACCTTCAGGGGGTCTGGGGATCTCCCCACACCTTTTCCCATTAAAAATGTTCTTGAAAGGCCGGTTGCCCTTCCATTTTTTTGGAAAGTGAAATAAGGGTAATGTAGTAGTGTATATGAATAAAATTTGGTACTGAAAGAAGTGATGCTTACCCCCGCCCCTCTCTAAATTTTCTTTCCAGGTAAGTTGATTTTTTTCTGTGGCTACCCAAAATTTTAACAAGAGGCCCAGGGGCCACATCGCTCACCTGAGCAAATCCGCTAAGAAAAAGCACAAATCAAATCAGAACTGAGTTCACTGAAGAGGGGGGGGGGGGTGAATTTTAATACCACTTGAGATTGTCATCATATTAATACAGATATGACTTTGCTGTTCTTAATAAAAAGATTTTTCAAAAACATTTTCTTCCTATATATATATAACTTCATAATAATTTGAATTTGATTCCCATTGTTTCCCTCCCTATCCCAAAGGGCCATGATTTGAATAAATTTAAATCTTCAATACATGAGGATGCTTAAATGTCAATATGACAAAACATAGCTTTTCTGTTCTTGGGATTTTTCCCTTTATTTTTCTATGTAAAACTTTGATCCACCATTGTGGCCCCACCCTACCCTTCAGGGTTATGATTTGAACAAATTTAATTCTACACTACCCGAAAATGCTTCCATATAAATACTAGTATTACTAATCATAGCTTTGCTATTCTTTGGAAGATTTTTTTTTATATATATTTTAATGTAAAACTTGGATCCCCCACTGTGACCCACCCTATCCCTGGGGGTTATGATTTGAACAAACTATAATCTACACTACCTGAGGATGATTCCACATAAATATCACTAATCATGGCTTTGAAGTACTTGAGAAGACGATTTTAAAAGATTTCCCTATCTAGTCCTATGTAGAACTTTGATCAGCCATTTTGCCCCCCCCCAACCCCCAGGGGTCATGACTTGAACAAACTTGAATCTACACAACCTGAGGATGATTTCACATAAGTTTCATCTTTCCTGGCCCAGTGGTTCTTAAGCATGCTAAGAAGAAGATTTTTAAAGATTTTCCCTATATACTCCTATGCAAAACTTTGATCGGCCATTGTGGCCCCACCCTACCCCTGGGGGTCATGAATTGAACAAACCTGAATCTACACTACCTGAGGATGCATCCACATGAGTTTCATCTTTTCTGGCCCAGTGGTTCTTGAGAAGAAAATTTTTTAAAGATTTTCCCTATATACTCCTATGTAAAACTTTGATTGGCCATTGTGGCCCCATCCTACCCCCAGGGGTCATGAATTGAACAAACTTGAATCCACTCTACCTGAGGATGCTTCCACATGAGTTTTATCTTTCCTGGCGCAGAGGTTCTTGAGAAGAAGATTTTTAAAGATTTTCCCTATATACTCCTATGTAAAACTTTGATCGGCCACTGTGGCCCCACCCTACCCCTTGGGTCATAAATTGAACAAACTTGAATCTACACTACCTGGGGATGCTTCCAAATGAGTTTCATCTTTCCTGGCCCAGTGGTTCTTGAGAAGAAGATTTTTAAAGATTTTCCCTATATACTCCTATGTAAAACTTTGATCGGCCATTGTGGCCCCATCCTACCCCCGGGGGTCATGAATTGAACAAACTTGAATCCACACTACCTGAGGATGCTTCCACATGAGTTTTATCTTTCCTGGCCCAGTGGTTCTTGAGAAGAAGATTTTTAAAGATTTTCCCTATATACTCCTATGTAAAACTTTGATCGGCCATTATGGCCCCATCCTACCCCAGGGGTCATGAATTGAACAAACTTGAATCCACACTTCCTGAGGATGCTTCCACTTGAGTATCATCTTTCCTGGCCCAATGGTTCTTGAGAAGAAGATTTTTAAAGATTTTCCCTATATACTCCTATGTAAAACTTTGATCGGCCAT